AGAGAGAGCATGAGATGGGGGAGGGTCAGAGGGAGAGGCAGACTCCCTGCTGAGCAGGGAGCCCGATGCGGGACTCGATCCCGGGACTCCAGGATCGTGACCTGAGCCGAAGGCAGTCGCTTAACCAACTGAGCCACTCAGGTGCCCCCAAAGCAATCTTGATAAAGAACAAAGCTGGAGGCGCCTGGGTGGCTCAGTCAGTTAAACATCTGCCTGGTCATGCTCAGGTCATGATCTCAGGGTCCTGGGATCAAGCCCCAAGTTGGGGGGGGGGCATCCCTGCTCAGCAAGGAGTCTGCTTCTCCCTTTCTCTCTGCCCCTCTCCCACTCATGTTCGCTCCCTCTCTGCCTCTCTCACAAAATAAAACCTTAAAAAAAAAAAAAAAAAGAACAAAGCTGGAGGTACTATACTCCAGATTTCAAGCTATACTGCAAAGCTATGTAATCAAAACGGTATGGTATGGCACAAAAACAGACACATAGATCAAACAGAACAGAACAGAGATCACAAAAATAAATGCACATATAGCTAATCTATGACAAAGGAGGCAGGAATATACAATGGGGAAAAGATAGTCTCTTTAATAAAACTGGCCCACTACATGCTAAAGAATGAAATTGGACCACTTTCTTACACCACCCACAAAAATAAACTCAACATGAATTAAAGACCTAAACATGAGACCTGAAACCTAAAATTCCTGGGAAAAAACATAAGCAGTAAGTTCTTTAACACTGGTCTCAGTGATTATTTTTTGGATCTGCCTCTTCAAGCAAGGACAACAAAAGCAAAAATAAATGGGACTACATCAAAATATAAAGCTTTTGCATAAGGAGGAAGCCATCAACAAAATGAAGAGGCAACAACCTACAATATGGGAGAAGGTATTCACAAATGATGAATCCAATAAGGGGTTAATATCCAAATATATAAAGCATTCATAAAACTTTATGAAAAAAAAATCCAAAAAATGGGCAGAAGACACGAATGGACATTCCTCCAAAAAAGACATCCACATGGCCAACAGACCCATGAAAAGATGCTCAACATCACTACCAATCAGGGAAATGCAAATGAAAACCACAATAAAGTATCACCTCACACCTGTCAAAATGGCTAAAATCAACAACACAAGACACAGCAGGTGTTGGTGAGGATGTGGAGAAAAAAGAACCCACAGCTGGCGGGAATGCAAACTGGTGCAGCCACTATGGAGGTTCCTTAAAAATTTAAAAATAGAACCACCATAGAACCCAGTAATTCCACTACTAGATATTAACCCAAACAAAACAAAAACACTAATTCGAAAAGATCTCCGCACACCCTACGTTCACTGAAGCATTATTTACAATAGCCCAGATATGGAAACAACCTAAGTATCTATGGATAGATGAATGGATAAAAAAAGATGTGGTGTATATAAACGGAATATTATCCAGCCATTAAAAAGAATGCGATCTTACCACCTGTGACAGTATGGATGGACCTAGAGGGTCTCACACTAAGCAAATAAAACAGGGATAAGATAAATACCATATGATTTTACTTGTATGCAGAATCTAAAAAGCAACTGAACAAACAGAAACAGACTCAAATACAGAGAACTGGTGGTGGCCACAGGGGTGGGGGATGGGTTGATGGACAAAATAGGTGAAGGGGATTAAGAGGTACAAACTTCCATTATAAAATAAGTAAGTCATGAAGATGAAAAGTACACCACAGGGAATCCAGTCATTAATACTGGAGTAACATTGTATGGTGAGAGATTGGAACTATACTTATGGTCACCACTGCCTAATACACAGAACTGTCAAATCACTATGCTGTGCACCTGAAACTCATGTAACACTGAATTATCAACTAAACTTAAAAATAAACAAACGAAAAAAAAAATAAAATAAATAAACAAACGAAAGAATGAATGGCAGTTGAGGAAGAGAGAGACTCAGGAACATGCCCAAAGTCACAGAGCCAAAAGGCAAAGCTGGGGTGTGGACCAACCAGGGCAGGAGAGCCCCACCGTGGTAGTTTTAACACATGTCTATAAACTTTTGAACAGTCCTATCAAGAGACGGAGTCTAATACCCTCCCCTCAAACCTGGGTGAGCCTTTGTGGTCAATTCAAGGAACAATGCAGAAGAAGGGACGGTGCTGGGAAACTTCAACTGCCACGTGGCCAGGTTACAGAGACCAGAAAGAGGAGGAGGAGGAGGAGAACGATGCTGTGCTACCTGAGGAGCCCTAGCTGTCTCAGGCCGTGCTAAGTCTCCCCAGCCCAGCACCAGACGGGAGAAGCCACCTGGGAGATGACATCATCAGCTGCCACCATCTGACTGCATGAGAGCTCCCCACCTCCTCAACTGACAACTGCCCAGCTGAGCCCAGTCAACCTGATTTGTGAACAAATGCCTATTTAAAAAGAAAAAAAAAACAAAAACTTTTATGATAACACAAAAACCTTATGATCTCCTTCCACTTAATGAAGAGTAAATCATCATCATGCCATATAGTTAATGAACTTACCTGTGTGTGAGCAGCTTCATGTGAAAATCTAGTAACTATGCTGCAAGAACTGTATGAAATGTTTGTGTGTCCTCAACATTGCTGAAGTATTCATTTACTGTGTCTGACACCGTGTGCAAGGCTTGTGTGGAAGCAGTCTACCTTTACATGGGCATCATGATGAAGTTTTCTTACTGTTTTATGACCTTGCTTTCAAAGAATTACATTACCATTTGGTACGCCTCTCCCGTAAACGGGAGAAACCACATATTAGCCTATCATCACAGGTAAGTGGGTTTTTAAAGATGTAACAATATTTCCAACACTGTATTATGAATATGACTGTAACACTATACACCATAAACATTCTATAATGAATGAGTCATACATTAGTGTTTAGGCTAGTCTACCATAAAGCAACCATATTGCTGCTTCGTTATCAGTGCATGCATTGTTTGTTATACCTGCAAATAAATGAGTTCTTTTCACATTTTTATTTCTGATGTCTCATGTCAGTAATACATGTAACATCTACAGTACTGATGTCGGTACTAACAGACAATTCATCCCGTAAACAGGCAACAGAAACTTTAACCTATATAGAGTCGACAAATACAGGACAGGACGCTAACCGTATTTTCTCTTTCTTGTGATTTTATTATTTTCTTTTTTCTAGCTTATGGCTGTGTAAGAATACAGTATATAGTCATGCAACATACACAGTACGTGTAATCAACTGTTAATGTTATTGTTAAGGCTTCTGGTCAACAGAATATCAGTAATTAAGTTTTGGATGGGGGGGGAAGTTTAGGCAGACTTTCGACTATTTAGGAGGCTGGCACTTGTAAGCCTCAAGTTGTTCAAGACTCAACTGTATTTTCCACATTTTCTATGCTGAACGTGTTGTCAATGAGTATTTGTGGAAACTTTCTGTTAACAATTTTCTACTTGTAAAAGTAACATATCCACAGTAAAGTGTGTGGGGGAAAAAAAGCTTTAATATTTTGTTTAAAATGCTATGGCATTCTGTTAACCATACTCGGTGCTTTAAAAAAAAGTCTAAGTGAGAAAAACAGTGGTCTAAAAAATAATAATAATGACAATGTGGTTCAATCAGAATTCTATTCTGATATGATGTTTTAAAATTTTTTAAACAAAAAAGCAAAAACAAAATAACTGGACCTTTCTATCTTAGATAAGCTAACTTTTTTATTCATAAACAAAACCCCATTCATTCAGAAAGTCAGAAGTCCTTTCCAAATCAACATATTGAGAACTTTTTTGAACAACCCTACCCCTGTGAAATGCCATTTGTACTAAGCTTAAAATTAGAAAACTTTCCTCTTTAGATATTCATTCTAAAACTAGTTAAGATCTTTTTTTAAAGATTTATTTATTAGAGAGATGGGGGGAGAAGGAGAGAGAGAATCTCTAAGCAGACTCCAGGCTGAGTGCAGAGCCCAGGGTAGGGCTCGATCCCAGGACCCTAAGATCATGATCTGAGCTGAAATCAAGAGTCAGATGCTTAGGGATGTCTGGGTGGCTCAGTCGGTTAAGCATCTGCCTTTGGCTCAGGTAATGATTCCGGGGTCCTGGGATCGAGTCCTACGTCAGGCTCCTTGCTCAACGGGGAGCCTGCTTCTCCCTCTGCCTGCCGCTGCCCCTGCTTGTGCTCTGACAAATAAATAAAATCTTAAAAAAAAAAAAAAAAGTCAGACACTTAACCAACTGAGCCACCCAGGTGCCCCAGCTAAAATCCCTTTTTATTAACAAGGGTTCAGGAGGCTTAGTGCATGTTTGTATTACATGGCTAACATGAGCAGTTCTATACCAAGGGAAGAGCACGGAATAGAACATAACTTTCAGGTTCTCTTGGTTCAGTTTGAGGAAGTGGTATTTCTTCCCTGCCCGCTGATATCCCCTAAGGATCTCCTTAATTCAATTAGACAAACACTACTGAGTATCTCCTATGTACCCTGCCACTTTTATAATTAGAAAATCATCTTTGGATAAAGGTATTTTCAAAACCTTTATCCAAAGATAAAGGCCCTCCCCAAACACAGAAGAAATTTAAAACCGTTGGTGAAACAAAATTTAAAGGTACCAGAACTGCTTAGCAATTCAGGAAAAGACAAATTCAGATTTAAATTATTTTTGGCATGCAAAGGGAAGGCCAACTGGTTTCCCCCTTGGCCAGACCTGCTTACTCTCTGTGAGCTAATGCTCAGGAGAGGCCCTAGAAGTCTCTAAGGAACACATCTGGTGATCTGAGATCTAGGAGTAACTAAGAAAAAACAGAAGTTTCTGCATGCCATGTCTGGGACACTGATAGCAGTTCACTGAGTTTTAATTTCTGAAGTACTCTTCTCTTATCCAACTTATGTATTTTGGACTACGGTGTTTTGAGAGGGGCGCAATACTTTATTTTACACACAGTTCAAGTCTCCACAAGAAAATCCTTCTAACCCTTATCACAAATACTAAGAAATTGTCTCACCTGCTCAGACTGTGTGAGCTTCATGGCTTCAGAAAGATATGCTGGTTAAAAAAAAAAAGGCACATTAATATGAGTGTCATAATCTTGTAATCAACAGGTCAAAGGAAGAGTTTTAGTACTCCTAGGACAAAAAGAACTGGTTTTAGAAGCAATTCTGCTACATAGTTATCCTGTTCCTGAACAGAAACAAGGTGGGGATTTTAAGACAGGATTCTTAACTTCTCCAAGAAAGAAGTCAGTGGTAACCAACTGGAGATATTCTCTACCCCATTTTGAAGGGGTTTTTCTTCAAAATCCTTGTAGATTTCATAATTAAGAAAGTAAAGATGGCCTCATTAGAAATATAGGATCAGGAAGGATTAAAATTAAACAGGAACCTATCAAAACCCTACTACTCATTTTGATCACAAATCAAAATCAGAGATTGATTATTAGTGTCTTTTTACCCACATGAATACCTGAACTATATCATTTTGGCCTCCTATAGAACTACTTTTATTGAATTATTTCTGAGCTATCCCATCAACCTACCATGAATCAGGTAGTTAAGAGCCATAAGAACCTGCTGACTTATTTATTGTAAGCAAGTTGCTGAGGATAGAATAATGTCCTTTATGAAGACCATAAATGGTAATTCAATAAACTTCTCTCTGACCTTAGGATCAGTTCCTGGGTGACTTAATTTACTTGGATTTAAAAAGTCACTGTAAAAATCCCTAATTTTCCTCTCTGAGCTACCTTCTAGAAAGCTCAAAGCCAAGTTCTCCTTCTATCAAATAAGCAAGAACTCATGGTGCATTTTGTGAACTATGCTTCTAGGCACTCCTCATTTTATCTTTCTGTGGCTTCCTCATCTGCTTATTTCTAATTACATTTTATATTTTGCTATATTCCTCTCTAAGGCCTTTTATATACTGTGGAACAAAATGGTATAAATGACAAGTAATATAATAATAGATCACGCACAATCTCCATTTTTATTTCTTGCTTACTATAAACTTTTCAGTGTCTCTCATCCCTACATTAAGTTCCTTTTTGCCTTTTTGCAGATACTACAAGGCAATGTTTCTGTCCTCTTAATTCAAATATTTTAAATGGTTTTGTTGTCTGCCAGTTTCTATCATAGTCTTTAAGATACAGATTAACTGGATGGTCTCTCCCCAATAGAAAACAGTTGGTTCTATAGCCTTTGCTCTAGCCATACTTATATTTTTTTCTCAACTTTTGCCCTTTATTCCTATACTAAGTCTGAATAGCTGCATACAGACTGCCTTCGGCTCGGGTCATGATGCCAGGGTCCTGGTATCGAGCCCCGCATCGGGCTCCCTGCTCAGCAGGGAGTCTGCTTCTCCCTCTCCCTGCTGCTTCTCCTGCTTGTACACCCCCTTCTCTGTCAAAAATAAATAAACTCTTTAAAAAATATAAATAAATAAATAAATAAATAAATAAATAAATAAATAAATAAATAAAATTTGGGTCTTAAGGGGCACTTAGCTGGCTTAGTCAGTAGTGTGTGACTCGATCTCAGGATTTTAAGCTCAGCCCCACGTTCGGTGTAGATCACTTAAAAACAAAATCTTAAAAATATGTACTTATAAATAAAATAAATTTGCTCTTTTTGCTATTTGTGAAAAAAATGAAACCCACTTAGGGAAGTGGACTGTGTAAGACTACAAGTAAGAATTCTAACGACTGAGCCACCAGGCACCCCTAACCACGTCAATTTTCAACTCCACTCTGAAACACAAGGCTATTTTTTTTTAAAGATTTTATTTATGTATTTGACAGAGCGAGAGAGGGAACACAAGCAGAGGGAGCGGGGGGAGAGGGAGAAGCAGGCTTCCCGCTGAGCAGGGAGCCCAATGCAGGGCTCCATCCCAGGAATCACGACCTAAGCCGAAGGGAGAAGCTTAATGACTGAGCCACTCAGGCGCCCCACAAGGCTATTTTTAACCAAGTCTGAACTCCAAATCAAATCAGCTCAGTGGGATTAACTAATCACACTTAAATTCTGTCTCCTTAATTAGAGCTAATGGGATCCAAAAGGCTGCCTTTATCTTTTCTACTCCTGAGAATGTGGCAGAATGCAGATACTGAGAAAGTAGGAAGGGGCGTGTAAAGGCCAACATCAATCTTAACTCCTCAAATAAAGACAGGGATGTAGAGGGTGTCTGGGTGGCTCAGTCGGTTAAGAGCCTGCCTTCGGCTCAGGTCATGATCCTGCAGTCCCTGGATCGAGCCCCGCATCGGGCTCCCTGCTCAGCAGGAAGTCTGCTTCTCCCTCTGACCCTCCTCCCTCTTGTGCTCTCTCTCTCTCAAATAAATAAATAAATAAAATCTTAAAAAAAAAAAAAAGACAGGGATATAGGTTAGGAATGAAGGAGACCTTTCTCCCTTTTATATACTCAGAATCTCCTACTGCTCAATGCACAACATATGCTGGTCACTCCATTGTATTTTATTTTATATACATGTAACCACAACCACTGCGGGTTATCTAATCAAAGGTATTATTTCAGTGGCATTCATCCACAGCATTTTTTTAAAATATTTTCTTTATTTGACAGAGAGAGAGAGAGTACAAGCAGAAGGAGTGGCAGGTAGAGGGAGAAACAAGCTCCCCACTGAGCAGGCGTTCGATCCCAGAACCCTGGGATCATGACCTGAGCCAAAGGCAGACCCGTAACTGCCTGAGCCACCCAGTCACCCTACACAACACTGTTTTTTTTTTTTTAATAGTGTAGTACATTGTCTTTTCTGTAAGGTGACTATAAAATTAACAATTTGATTCACAACAAAATACGGTTTATGAAAGATTTAAAGAGCACTAGCCGCCAAGTTTAATTTTGTATAAAGCTCTCCATGAAACTCACCATAAAAATTCACAAAGACTTACAGGGTACATATTAGGCCCTCAGCCTTACTGCTGAAGGGGTACACTTCAGTGGCAAAACTAATTCTTTTAAAAATAAGACTTGAAATTTTCTCTGAAAATCACGGGCGTGTAGGCAAAAATCACTGACATAAAAGAACTTAGTCAAACCAGTATCCACCGTGTGGTCTGTAGTCCAGCCCTAAGGCAACACTGGAGGGTACACTCTGCCAAGAAACAACATGGTTTTAATCATCACAGTGGCCTAGAAAAAAATAGTGTCTTCCTCGCTCTAAGAAAGGTGGCCTATTTTGAATGCAGCATGAGTAAATCACTCCCTCCCCTAAGTTTTTAGGTTTGTTAATCAGCCAACAGAAACCAGTCTTTACATAACAGACCCCAAATATCTATTTCTGAGTTCAACATATGCTAAACTGCAACTGACTGGGATAAAATAACTGTTTGATAAGAAGTCATTAATTCTAAATTTCATACCTAAAAGAAAGCGATCATCAGCATGATACCATAGGCACGAATGTACAGATGAAATATTCAGAAAGAAGCTAAACAAAGAGTATTACCAGCATCTTAGAAAACAAATTCAGTGAAAACTAATCGGTTAAAATTTAGTTATTACTTTCATAACCCAAAACGGCTATTTGAAATTCATTTTCCATAACAACTAAGATAAAGTGGTAGACTTCTTGCAATCACTTCTACCTTTAGGAATCTTTGGATTCAGAAAGCTGTGTCCAGAGTCATTTACCAATATGGCATATGCAACCTTCATGGTTTAGGAAGACTAGGTTAGGAGGAACTAGGAAATCCAACATACTCACTTGAAAAGTAATCCAAACTGATGTCCTGGTGGGTCAGTAGTGTCAACCTTGTACATGCAGGGCAACACCCTATCATTACTACTGGGACTTTCATTCTGAATAACTTGTTGAGAGATGGCTGGAGAAAAGAAATTGCCCTCCAGTTTTAGACTCAGTATTTCTTTAGAAGAATACTCACCTGAAGCCTTTTTGTGACAAGAAATAGCCTCTTCGTATTTCCCTGCAGCTAATAAACGATCTGCTCGTCTGCTCTGTTGATGAGCCTAGAAGACAAACATTCCCAAATTCCTCTGAATTATATAAAAAGATATGACTTAAAAACATTTTTTAGGGGCGCCTGGGTGGCTCAGTCGGTTAAGCGTCTGCCTTTGGCTCAGGTCATGATAGGATCGAGCCCCACGTCGGGCTCCCTGCTCAGTGGAGAGCCTGCTTCTCCCTCTGCCTGCCTCTCTGCCTACTTGTGCTCTCTCTCTCTCTCTGTCAAATAAAATCTCTTAAAAAAAACTTTTTTTTGGACAAGATAAATGATGCCCTTTTTTGCCACACATCAAACCATTACAGCTATATCGGTAAGAAATCTAATGGATAGCTCCTTGAGCTGTAGCATCTGAAAGGATTGGCAACTTTTCTCAACTCTACCAATAAACCACTACGTTTCACACCAGGCACTTAACTACTTCAGTGACTCACATTCTTCCACTCTTCAGAGATTAACCAGGAGTTACAATCACAGATTGCTACCTAAAATGTGTAGTTACTTGATTTTTAACAACCTTTCAAAACAAAAGTCATCTTGTGGATCCTTTCACTAGTTTGTATCGTTCAACAACTAAAATCAGGAAATTTCCAGAAAAGTCAAGCTTCTCTTATATCAACTCATTCTTCCCTTCCAACATTACAGTTACTATTTGTTTTTAAGATAAAAATTTGCACTGTACAGTTGAAGAATTAACTATACAAAAATTTTTAAGGGACGCCTGGGTGGCTCAGTCGTTGAGCGTCTGCCTTCAGCTCAGGTCATGATACCAGGGACCTGGGATCGAGTCCCGCATCGGGCTCCTTGCTCGGTGGGGAGCCTGCTTCTCCCTCTCCCTCTGCTGCTCCCCCTGCTTGTGCTCTC